TGTTGCTGTTGGTGGTGGTGTTGTTGTTGTTGTTGTGGTTGCTGTTGCTGTTGCTGTTGTTGGTGCTGTTGCTGTTGCTGCTGCTGTTGTTGTTGCTGTTGCTGTTGCTGTTTCTGCTGCTGCTGCTGCTGCTGTTGTTGCTGTCGCCGTTCTTGGTTGTGGAGCCAAGCTCCGCCAAAATGAGCAGTGGACACAACCGCTGTAGCCGGCGGTTTCGACAAGCTTGGACATCCAAGGACCCGCGACTAAACCTTACATGCGAACGTTACCTCTAAACCACTACAACCCGCAACCCCCCAAACCTTCTTGCGCAAGCCCTGAACCTAACGTGCCCCAAGAGGGCTCGTTTTGGAAATTGGGCGGCAGTTGCTGGCTTTTGGCAAAAACTTGGGTGATGTCATCTTACCGAAAGAATCTCCAAAGGACGGTCAAGCCAAGAGCATCTATCCAGGAAGCATCGAACCAGAAGCTTTCTCTTCCGGGATGGTTTGAACTCCCGCAACCCTAGTCCGACTCGCGGACTCGTGGAGAAAGCCCCATCGCCGTTGAAGGAAACCCGCTTGAAATCGATCCCGAAGCCCCAATCACAGCCAATCCCAAGCCCAAGCCCTAAGCTTGATAGAACTTTTGTAGATTGCAGACTCTCCTTTAAGCCCTTTTCTGAATCCTTGTAGACTTCCTTCTAGATCCCTTGTAGAGAGGACCCTACCGTAAACCCTCCTGCCAGGCTATTCGCGCACCCAAGCTGAAAACTGTCGGCCCGGCCTGCTTTCACTGCTTCGGGGCACGATGAGGGCCCCTACACCTCAACGGAGAAGCCCTACACCTTTTCCCTCTAAGCCCCTTAAACCCTAAACCCTAAACTGGTTCATGGTTTTTTGAGTCGTTTTTGTTGGGAAGGCCGGTGGGCTGAAGAGTTTCAGACTCGCGGCGTCCAAGGGTTTGGGCTTAGTTCCCCGTGGTTGAGAGTTTAATGTAGGGACCTAAACTATTACCAATACTATTTTTGGGGTTTCTGATTATATAGAACTATTGTATAGTGGGCACCAAAACCCCATTCTAATTATTTTGGCCCCTGTGTTACCGGGTTTGCCGCGGCTTTTACTAATTGCCTGTACTTCTTTCGACCGCTCCTCCTGCTTCCTCCTCCTACTGCCACTGCCACTGCCACTGCCACTGCCACTGCCACTGCCACTGCCACTGCCACTGCTACTGCTACTGCTAATGCTACTACTGCTACTACTGCTTCCGCTTCTACTTCTACCGCTTCTCATCAGCTCTTGATTAGTCATTATCCTGACTGTCGCCCTCTGCAGAAGTGTTTGCTGCATGAAGCCTTTGCTTTTGCCTTTGTCTTGTGGCTTCTCCTTGCCTTTGTTCGACCTCAGCCAAGCAAGCGCAATCCCGCGAGCGAAGCTTGTCAAAGTGATGAGCAATGGAGTCCAACAATGTTTTGCAGCAGCGAGCGAACTGCAGTTCACAAGTAGGGAGCGGTCCCTTTGCTCGCTCCTTTCTCAATCTCGTCCTGCATTGACATGGGAAGTCATGGGCAAGGGCCCAATGCCATCGACTCGTACTGCAAACGGCGACAACTGGCGCACCTTGCTCTTCTTCTTCTGGCTTATAGCCTTCAGAGTCTGATCATGCTTTGTGGGGCACAATATTCCTGCCAAGCTGCTACAAGTACCTGATCCTGCGAAAGTCTGCACTGTTAGCACTGCACAACAAACCGGCCGAGTCTTCACGGAGAACGCTAGTTTCTTCATGTCCTACCCAGGGCAGGAGTTGCGGAGCTGGACCTAGACACAGGCTTTGCAGACTCCCCGTGGCCATCCGTGCCCAAGAAACACGAAGCATCAATGGATATTCAGTTCACCGGCAACGTGCAGACAACTCTGGACAGCGCACGCGTGTGCTCTTCGATACGACGATCTCCCGCCCACCGAGGAGGCTGTCTGAAAACCTTACTGGCCGGTTGGGCAATTCTGTTTGAGCAGCCTGACCGGGCACTTCAAGCATTTTCAGCTGGCAGGAAGAGAATTGGTAGCAAGATTCCTGCAGTAGGACGTGGCGGGCTTTGTATGGGTGCGTGTCGTGGTTCTGCTTCTGCTCCCTGCACAGCCACATCAGTACAAGTCTTAGTACAAGTTACAGGTCGGGAAGCCGCAAGTCAGGAATCGGCCCTGCCCGGCCAGTGCTGACAGGAGCAAACCTCCTCCTGTCACCTCTCTCGAAACTGAGAAGCCGATCAACCCAAGCCTTCTGAGTCGCTGGCATGAGGGCTGTTTGCGCATCGGATTCCTGACTTGCAGCGTGAAGCACGCCCGCGAAATCCCCGCTGTGATGACCAGCTAGGCAGTTGGCATGTCCTCTTGGAATTCGACGAAGCCAAAGCCTCGAGATCGGCCCATGTCGTTGCGGACAACGACAACCTGCCCAAACGTACCCGAACGCCATTTGCAACGCATGAAAAACGGCTCGAACAATGCAAGCAGCGTCTGTGCCAGCAACTTGCGCTGATCCTTTTTCTGACTGCAGGCTACGGCACAGCTTTCCCAGGATCTCGTCCTCCTGAAGTATTGTGATGCTGAAACTGGCTGTGTCACCCGATTCAAGCTGTCCAACATGTGCCCCCGCATCTAGGTAACAACGTCAAACGCTGGAATGTCCAAGCCTACAGCAGTGTTTGGGTACGGATGACTGCCAGGAATCAACGCTATATGGTCGGGTCAGAAAGCCCGGTGAGACCGGATTGGCTCTCGGGAACGTGGTTGGGCCTCGCGGGCGGCATCGCCTCGAAGTTGCCTCCTGCGCCTCGCTGACGGCAGCGGCAGTTCGCAGTCGCGCCACCCATCTGCCCAGACGCGGGGGACCCAGAAATCTCCTGATTCCCACGTGCACGCACGTCCTGTGGCTCTTGCTCTGGCCGTCTTGGGAAGCCAAAAAAAGAACACCATATCTGGATCTGAATTCCCTGCATATTTTTTGACACTCACATGGCCCTACAGCGCTGGTCAAACCAATGGTCTGCGTGTTTGCGTATCTCAACACGAGAGATGACTGCCGACGCTGGGAATCTTACCTGTAAAGTGAAACTACAAGCAGGGTCCACTCCTGCAAGGTTGTGAACCGTGCAGCAAGTGCACTGTCAGCATCGCCCGGGATTCGTCCAACAAGATCGCTAAAGCTAGGTAGGAGGCAGCCGAGAATGTGCAGGACGAATCCAGGGGTGTGCTTCGACGAAAAATCATATCTTACCCATCGTCTGCGCCCTCTCGGATTGACGGCACCAGCCCCACTGAAGGGCTGGACGGCCAAAGGAAACCACGAGACTGCTCTGTCCAGGCTAAGCGTTGCTTGGATTAGGCTTCGTCTCTATCTGCCGGGCCTGGTGCTGTCATGAAGTCACTGCATTGGGTTCTCCTGGGGAGGTCCTTCCGAAGTGTCCATCATCTCCAGGCCCCTGCCGAATGGCATGTCTGCGCCAGCCCAAGACTTCAGCAGCATGAACTGAAACTGACTGGTGGACAGCTTAGGTTTCCAGGAGTTCGTTTCCAAATCAGTTAATGCTTCTCTCGGACCATCCAACCGCACTGCACATCACAGGCGCCAAACACATCTACGACGCTGGGCTGATCCAGCTGGCTGTGAGCATTAGCATCCGTACCTTGACCCATGAAGGCGGGCCCTACACAGAAGGACTGGGCTGGCCTCTTCTGGCCATGCGGTTGGGCTTGGAATGCCTCAGGCCAATGCTTCGGCGTGCAATCTCTGTTCACAGACGAAGCCCGCCCAAAAGCGATGAAGTGCGACCCTCAAGGATGAATTCCGCTCGCCTGCAGCATGCCGCTGTTGACCTGGAGCTGAACCTCAAGGACAGTGCTCGATCTTCGTTTTGGCAATGAACATTGGCTCATACACCCGGGGCACAAAGGACACCAGAGTCGACAGCTTCTTGCATCTCACTTACGTAATTAGTAAGCTACTGTGCGAACACTTGTCTCGAGCTACACCTCTTCACCCGTGAGATGTCTCGGATGATCACTCCGCGTAGCGATGGCTGAAACAATGCACACCTTACTTCAATTTTCAGGAGGAGTCTGAGGTCTCCGAGCACCGGGCTCTATGGAGCATCTCATACTCCCTTGGCTGTGGCCGGAAGTCCAACAACATGCCGCGACGAAATGCTACCAAGCAAGCCTTTCTTGACTATACACCGTCTTCAAATGACTCCGGCCCTTGTCACGACGGATCTGGAAATGTCTGAAGCGATTCAGTCCATCTTGCCCAGCCGCCGGATTTGGTTCCGGAAACCCTCGTTGATGGAGATGCAGTGTCGCCGAGTGAGCACATAAGTGTGTGCCTGTTTGACTTGAACCCCCCCGAGCACTTGCGTTGTAGCCAGAAGTGACCTTCACAGACATCTTTATGGCTACGTAACCGCAGCCATGGGCCCAGCCTGGTCGGAAGGAAGGTTGAACTTCTCCATCACATACCTTTGATTTTGGTACTGTCCGGACAGGCATTTGGTCCAAAAGCTCCGAAATCTCCGAGTAATGTTTGCATCTCAAAGGCGCGGGAAGACTGCAGGCCAACCATCACTGTCATGGTATTGGGGCATCACCATCCGAACAGCTAAAACATATCACAAGCCCCAGCAGTGCAGCTGGCTGCGTCCCATCGGCTTGCTACCCTCTCATCGAAACGAACGGGGAGGTACATGCCTTTATAGCTGGCAAGATGCGCGACCACAAGTGCAGCAGAACGGGACATGCCTCCCACGGTTCTCACAGGTTTGAAGATGTGCAGGTGGCTAGGCCGGAAGTGCCACGGCGAGACGCGCTTCACAAGAGCCTGCATTTCCATGAACAAGAATTCGACCACCTCTGGCCAAGACGGCATCCTCAGCCACAACGAGGACAGCTTCAAGATTCAAAGGCGAGCAAACGCAGAGGAGAACGCTTGAGTGCCACAGCACATACCAGTGCTCGTCATGCCAGGGATGACCTCCTCCAATCAATCAGTTAAGCCCGGAGTCTAGAAGCAGCTTGACATCTGCAAAGAATCGAATGATGTTCTCGAAAGGGCTGTCACCTTGCACAAGGGAATCGCATTTAACTCTCGGCCGGCCGATCCAAACTTAGCCCAGACGGGGCTCACCCTATGAAGCCGGCTTCCACACCGCTCTCTTGTGCAGCTGAGGCACGGCACTCCAGCACCTGCAGACTACAAAGCTGCTAGCCCATGGTAGACTGGCATGGATGGCCCGTAGCATGTACGGGTCAGAGAATCTTCTGGCGTTTGACTGAAATTGTCTGGCCCCATTAAACATCCTGACTTCCAGAAGTCTACCACATGCGGAGACTTCAACTTTGCGCCAGGAGGAAAGGCTTTAGGCTTGTAGTTGCATTGGGGGGTCCCCAGCTGTGCAAACAACAAAGAGCCAAGCACCTCGTAGTGGATGAATTCCGGGTACTTCGGACAAATGATTCCTGAAAGGGCCCCAGCTGTTTCACATGCTGCAATTGTCCAACTCATGGACACCAACGGCAAACACAGGAAAGTGAGCTCGACACTGCACAGACATGAAGAAAGGAAGCCTCTTATAGTCTTCACCTGCTCAATACACTGTGTGTTGTACAGGTCCCAGTTTGAAACAGACCTCGCAAATCTGCAGCGATGCGTCTGGCTTCCTCCGGTGCTCGGACGACCAGGGCATCCGTTATGTTTACTCGCTTCAAGAACTCCTGCGGCCATTGCTGACACTCTTCTCTCTTGTCCCTGCCAGCATTGCGAGTTGCCAAAAGCTCCTGGTCTCGAGCAGAACCAAAGGGCCCCAGCCAGAGTCCAGGAATGATCTCCTGCGCCTCCCGCCTCAGGGGGCTAGGGATAAATTCGCGTTTCGCAACCCACTGGTCATCCATATGATCACTCTGCGCAACAGACTCAACATGCTCTTCAGCCAAATAGCTTCTTGGCATACACCCAGTCGGTGTCTGGCGGTAGCAATCCCTGCACACCGGAAAGTGCAGTCGAATACATGCTGCACCTGCCAGGGTTGTGAGCAGAAGGGGGAGGTCTTCTCATCTCCGTCTCCGTTCTTCTGCATCTACTCTGCGTGCAGCCGCGCCTGAGAGGTGCATGCCGCTGCTAGGCCATGCGCGGCGAGACAGGGGCACGTGGCCGAGACCCCGCTTAACAGCTGCGGAAAGTGGTTTCAGTGGACAGTGCCGACATCATCCTGCCAGACTGTTGAAGCCTTTGTTGGAGAAGCATTACCGGTGACCATCAGAACCGGCATGAGCCGACTCACACCACACCCAAGGCGCTCCGGACTCTACAGCATGTTCCAAAAAATCCTCGAACTTGCGACCAATCTCGTCCACAATGTGTTTTGAAATGCTCAATCTCTGCTGCCAACCTGCAAGACAGGCCCACATTGTTGGAAGTGTTCTGTCAGCTGCGTCTCATCCACCTTGGGTCGAGCCACGAAACATTTGCCGAGTTTCGTGTCCATCGGACCTAAGAGTATTTGCGGCGAGCGGACCAGTGGATACTGCCTGGTGTTGAACCTTCGGTCCGTCTCGCTGCTACTATTTGCTTCTTCTTCTATCGTAATCCCCGTTCTCTTCCTTCTTCGTCGCCCGAGCTCAAGCCCCTGCAGCGTGAGTCCTCTGTCTGACGGACTCTCCCCGAGCACCTGCTCGGTCACTTTCTGTTGTCAGATGTGCATTAGCAGAAACTACAGCTTTCGCCACGTACGCTGCCACGGTTGTCGCTTAGATCTGGGGCGAATGCGCTGAAGGCCAGATTGTTTACGTGCACCGTTGTAGGGCCTCGGCTAGGAGCATAGAAGTTGCCTTCCGAGCCGTCTTGCGGTCTGAATGGCCTGCTGTGGTCGTGATGAGACCCCACATGGAAAGCCTGCAGTACAAGTAGGTGTCGCACATTTCGAAGACTGCTTCACTGGATCCTCTCTTTCAGCTCGACCTGTTCGGAGGAGACGGGCCAAACAACACGGCCGGCTGTGCATAATCAAGCCGGCCTTGAACAATATTTCTCTGGTTCACCCGCTGAGGAAGGTCCTTTCTTGTCGCTGCTGTGGTGTGACGGTGGTCCTTCAAACTGCTTGCTCTGTCTTCTGGTTGAGGCTGCCTGTACTCTCTGCAATTCGATGCCAGTCCTTCATTGGTATAGACCGGGAGAGCACCACCGCCTTGGCATTGGCGCCACAATACGATCTCAACCAACTATACTATACACCTTGTGCCTGTCTGTCTGTCTGTCTGTCTGTCTGTCTGTCTGTCTGTCTGTCTGTCTGTCTGTGTGTGTGTGTGTGTGTGTGTGGGTGCGTGGGTGGGTGCGTG